CTTCCATAATTCTCCTCAGTTTTGTATGCAATTGTGGATTTGTGTAACGTGCAGAAATTTTAGAGGAGGAAACACAGATTTTCTTCTAATTTGTCCCTAGTTTTCTCCGTTGACTAGTAAATGAAGTTTTTCCAAATCTCTCTGAGCTACTATGTATCTTATTTTGACAATATGATTTGTTATGAATATGTGAAAATGTTTACTCCAGTCAATTTTGTTGGTAGCGTCCGCTGGTGGAGACAGCCAAGTTTAAAAAATCGCTGCATATACACGTCATTGAATCTGCACGTGCCCATTGCTGTGCAGATGCCAACATGGCGGACAAATGCCGGACATGATTTTCAGTCATGGCGCGCCCGTGAGAAATACATTCATTTAGTGGATTGTAGGCGAGTAAGTCCAACCCTTCTGTGCTGACGTGAGTGTGCAACTAAAAAGCCCATTTTTAGCAATGCCTGCAGGTTTTAGATCAAACAACAAGAAGGTTTGATAGAAGTACAGTCTGCTGTTGTATCCCCATACAGCACACTGGCGGAGATTCAAAAAGATTCTGCCATCTTACGATGCTCACATGACCAGCATTTCACTGAGGGAAGATTGAGTAATGCTTGACGCAAGTCCTCTGTTCTCAGTGATAAAGGATCTGGCACAGTCACTTAGATTTCTATGATGTGACATTTTATAGTTGTTACCTACTAGCATGTGTGTGTGTGTGTGTGTGTGCGCACCCTCACACATACACTGTACATAGATACTTGCACACAGATGCACACACACACACACACATATATACTAGTACTAGGTAACAACAATAAAATGGCACATCATAGAATCACACAGATACACTCACACATATACACCCCCCACATAGACACACAGATACACACACATACACAGATACACACACATACACAGATACACGCACAGATACATACATAGATCACACAAACGGTCCAGACAAGCCAAAAGCAAATGCCAATACATTAAATGTACAATGTACTTCACTCCAAATCCATGGGCTTTTCCAGATCACTTTTTTTGGTTGAATTGCAGCAAGCAGCATCTCACTAATAGCCTAAGATGCTCAAGCTTTCTCGAACAAGATAGTGTTCAGTGGTAGACATTTCCATTTCAGCCGAGGCCTCACTAGGTAAAAGGCTGCATCTCAAAAAGTGCCATCCTTCTGACACTCAGGATGTCCTTGAAACAAGGTCAATGTCAATGCGACACTTAACTCTGAGGAAGAGTGGTTAAACACTCAGAAAAGAATGAGAACTGTGCATTTTTAATGGTACGATTACATGTAGATGAAGGAGGACTGTGATACCTAATGTTCCATGTATGTTATCAGTATGTTGTAAGTATGCATGCCTACATCTCACATGATGAGTTAGTACTGTTAATTACTAGTCAGTTCTGCTCCGTGCAGTTTTCTGAATGTTTTTCCCACACTGGCCCCATGGCTAATCCCTGGTGTGAATACTGAAATAAATCAGTAAATATTCCACTAATATATAATTTTTAGTCTCTTATAAATATAATATCATAATATTCTGTTACAGTTACAGGTAATTTTCTAGGTTCTGTGATGATACTAGAGATCAGATTTGATAGATTTTGGGTTAGAATATTGCTGTAATATTAAAATTTAGAGGGGAGGAGGGTTGTGACCTGTGGAAAATCAGTAAATATTCCACTAATTGTTATTTTTTTAGTACCTTATAATATAATGATATTCTGTAACTGTCACAGGTAATTTTCTAGGTTGTGTGATGATGCCAGAGATCAGATTTTGATGGATTTTGGGTGAGAATATTGCTGTTATGTTAGAGAGAGGAGGAAGGTTGTGGCCTGTGGAAAATCATTAAATATTCTACTAATTGTTAGTTTTTTAGTCTCTTAAATATAATAAAATTCTGTGACTGCTAGGTTGTGTGATGGTGCTAGAGATCAGATTTTATAGATTTTGGGTTAGAATATTGCTGTAATGTTAAAGAGGAGGAAGGTTGTGGCCTGTGGAAAATCAGTAAATTAAATATTCCACTAATTGTTAATTTTTCAGTCTCTTAGAATATACCATGTTCTGTGACTGTTACACCCAATATTCTAAGTTGTGTAATGATGCTGGAGATGAGATTTGATGGATTTTGGGTTAGAATATTGCTGTGATGTTAGAGAGGAGGAGGCTGGTGGGCGTGGGCCGGGGGTTGTTGTTCTGTGCTGGTAGGTAGCTGCTTACGCATGTACGTCATCACCCCGCCATCTATCCATCATGTCAGGATCACGCACGGCTGATGCCGGCATAGCCTTCACAAGGTGATCCTCACCTGCACAATCTCAGGGATGAAGTCACCAAGGTCGGGTTATACGTTTGCGAACGTGCAGCTGATTTTCTTTAACTTCCCACGATCCCAGAGCCGTTGTCTTTATATCACATTTGTATACATAATGATATTTACATAATATACAAATGTAAATGAAAATATTAATTACAATCTATTAGACAAAGAAGATCCCCCCATTTTCTTTTGCATTCCTGTATGATATATTTTGTTCTATTTTTAAGATGGAAGTAAAATCCTCACTGTACTCTGATAAAGGTTTCATATGTTATCAAATTCTGTCTCGTTTCATTATCTCCTGTATAAATCGTATCTTGATTTTTATCATATTTCATTCTGATCTGACTTCTGACCCCTCCCACACGATTTTGAGGTGCGTTATTAATTTTTGTTAATCAAATGTGTTGTATACTGTATAACTTGTTATTACTGTGATTTTGAGTAAAGTTTAATGTTAATGTTTAGAGGTCGCTAATAATTGTGAAATTTTGGAGGTCCCTAATTACATGTTTGTATCAGCAATATTGGAGGTCAAAAAAACTTAGTCTTCTGTTAATTCTGTTGTGTAATTTTAGTATATTCGGTTTTTATGTTTTCTATTATTTTAGTGGACTCTAAGAAGACTAGTGATTATATTCACTAATGGAGATCTACATATGAACCAAACCAAAGGCTTGGTCACAAGTTTTCTGATGAAATTCACATTTTGTTTTGATCACCCCAATAGAGTAAGGGAGGCTATCATCAAGCCGCTAAAGCCTGATAGATGTGTTATTGGAAAACAAAGTCTTTATTACCGGGTACTTACATAAGAAGGAGCAATTCTGTGGTAGATACATGTAGATTGTTGCCTTTCGGAAGGTACAGAAAAGCTGGCCAGGATTTGTCTTCTGGCTTAAAATCATCTTATTTGCGTGGTGTCAGACCAATTGTAGATCGTATTTTGATAAAATTGGACAGGAAGAAAATGAATGTGCAGTTCTTGATCAGCGCTAGTGACTAGTACTGATTCCATGCATCAAAAAAGTCTTTCAGTCTCTTTATGATTTTGGGATGCATGGATAGAGGGCATAAGTAGCAGAAAAAAGTAGAAAAAAAGCAATATATGGTACATGTACATGTACATTTATTTTGAAAAATATTGCCTGGAGCATTGTAATATCTAACGTAATGCCTTTTCCAATATTCCATGTTGCAAGCTTCAATAAAACATGGTGTTAGCACAACCCTGCTTAATTTCCTGATATGTCGATGTTGAAATATTCTGCCTCGGGAAATTCACACCAAAAGAATATTGGGACTTGGTAACAACCGTCAACAGAAAAAAACATCCTATATTTTATTTGTTTTGATAAAACAGTCATGCTTGTCTCTAGGACGGTAGACAATGTACATGTATTCTTTAAATGACGAATCTTTAACCTTGGAAAAGAAGTTACGTCTAACCTTGTTGGAGGTAATTTTTTGTTTCATAGAATAACAATTTTTTGTGGTGCTGTTTTACCTTATACATTGTAATTTTGATGTTAAAGGATCGATGTCAAAAATCTTTTCTATAGATTTATCCTACCTAAACATAATGTATATTTGCAACTTTGGATGTAATTTTAATTCTGCTAACCAGTTAAATTTACCAGTGTGACAGACTCTGACAGTTATTTTAAAATGTAGATGTATTTTTTATTGTGTATAACCCATTTTTGCAGCAACATGTTGAAAGTCACATGCTTCATACATAATGTATAGTGCCTAATGTAGGGAGATCTGTCACCTGTATGGTACTGTGGGGATTTCTATGTTTACACCAGTACCGTTAGTCAAATCTCGGACTTCAAAGGTCACTTTGGAGTAGATCTAGGGATGTGTCATTTGTAAAATGGAAAACAAGGCAATTGAAGATGGCGGACTTCACCCCCTTACCACACTGCTTTGCAACCCTTCCAGTCATAAGAATAAGAAGACTAGCGCTGAGGGCATATACATTGTACGAATGTTGCATTTATTTTTATAGACCGTAAATTAAAATATTTTTGTGGTGACTTCATTTACAGCGTTAGGAGGGGGCGTTCCTGTTTCTTAAGTTTGTGGTTGAAACAAAATGTCGTAATTTTGTACTATAAGAAGCCACTGCGAAAATAGCTGAAAGAAATTTCAGGCTTGTTGCATGCACATGTTGTGCTGTGTACCTAAACCCAGGTTCTGGTCCGGGTTCAAGTCCAGAGGTTTAGGTTCAGTGCCGGACTCATAAGTCTAAACCAATATGCATTTTGCATGCAATTAGAAAAATATGTGCAAATTACTTGTATACACTATAATATAGTCAAAAGTAAAGCTCTTCAAATAATATTAAACAGTATACAATTTTTAAAAAATCAAAATGTTTTTAGGTTAATAGAAATTCTTAATATAATGTAGCAACAACAGCAAAGAAGTGCTTAATTTTGCCCCCAGAAATAAAATCGCGGCTGAAATGCAAAATTGCTGGATTTAATATACTTCATTATCGGCCCTCTACTGCCATTTGCAAACCTGCAATTTCACCAATGTCGATAGAGGGCGTTGTGTCTTCTCGCACATTTTTGCGAGATCCAGCGAGAGTTTGTCAGTAACTTTTTTATGGCCTTGACCTGACGGTTTTGTTTTTTGTTGTTTCTGCAGTAAACAATGTTGCACAGATGACGGAGGGATGGATACCACGAGGCCAGGGTGAGTGGAGAGGTACCTACCCTTCAACTTGTTTGTTTGTTTGTTTTGTGTCAGATAAACATGTCACCACACCTCCATTTACTTAGTACATGCACAAAGGTGTGGTAATTTGAGCCCTGCTATCATTATAGATGAAAGTACCAATATGAAAAGCTGTCAACAAACATCTTGTGTGTTTGAAATTTTAGGCCTAGAAAAATCAATGTTGTATTTCCTGTTTCCCGACCGACCCTAGAAAAAACTGCTGACCCTAGCTTTTTTGGGGTAAACACTGCAAGGCACATAAATTTTTCGAGATCATCGACCATTTCTAGCTGCATGACCTGAGTGAAGAAACGTTGTGCAATTAGCTTTCCAATACTGATATTGAAAATTGAAAAGTGTCCTCATGCAAGTTTTACTTTTTTAAACGGTACAAGTTGGATCACTAGAGGTAGCCAAAGTCTGAAAAAAATGAAAGAAAAAAAGATAACCCCTACCTACCGACCCTATTTTTTTCAGGACTGAAACAGGAAACACAATATTTTTTTTTCCTTGGCCTTAGAGCATTCGTGCCCCTAGACAATATGTACATGTACTCTCTAAGATTATGGAAATATTGTAACACTGAGTAACACTGAGAGAAATTGAAATTGTGTTGTGCTGCTGTGAAAGAGAAACGATATCCTTGTGATGATGAAACAACAGCTGGCTCTCAGCTTGTCCCAGAGGAACAAAATTACCCTCTTGTGAAAATAAAATGACAAATCAGCATATCTAAAGGCTGATTTGCATGCACAGCAGATAATTACTGAAACAGGTGAAAGATGACATTGAATTTTTGCACCTGTTTGTTGAATCAACAACATACATGACGTAGCATGAAAGTTCATCTGTGTTGGTACAAGCCATTATGAAATAAAGACTAAACTTTAACTGCCAGCACTACAATGAATTTGAGGTACGTCCCAGTTCATTGTAGTGTTGGCAGTTAAAGTTTTGTTATTATTGTTTATTTCATAAAATTCATGACAGTTATTCTCCTTTGAATCAACTGTCTTGTATGTTGTCGTTATTTATATTCGTTACATTTGCTAAGAAGGTTATGTTTTTTGTGGACTTGAAAAGATGTGGATTGAACCATATAACTATGATATTCGGTATATGAAATGAAGGACGTCAATTATGGGCCCCCTAGTGGCTTTCTCTGGTACTCCAGCAGAACCTTTGGTTTTACTATCTTTAATATACATGTACTGTATAGATGTATATCAAAATCATATCTAATTTCTCTGCATCCTGGATCCTCTGTTAAATATCTTCTTGTATCATATGCATGAATTATGTTTTCTTTGCAGATTAAGTGAATTTTACTTTACACAGACATTTAAAGAGAACATTTATTCCACGTAAAAGTCATCGTGTACGCTGTTAATAGACCCTGCAACATGATACATCTTTTCATTATCACACAAGCAAACATGCCTGATGATGTTGACGTTAAAAGCTTTATGGTCCTTCAGTGTTCTGAATTGTCCATTTGGGTAATGCCTTGCTCCAACTGTGCATTAATGTCCAGTTCTACAACTGAAACTAGTAGTGTATAAGAATTTACAGTCACATAAGAAAGTGAAAGATTGTGGATTGTGGTGATGGGGCCTTTTTTGGATATCAGATCTAGAGGTTCATGTCTTGGGGGTTCATGTAGGTAATATCTTGTTGGCAGCTCTCATTTTGATTTAAATTGAAGATATCCTACTACCTGGACTCCTAGATCACGTGCAGAGACATTTGACAAAGACGTTTCATTGCGAAATCCCTCAGACCTGGACTGGTTTGATGTTTTGCAAAGGTGACCCCAAAGCTTCCTGCTAACATCCAAATGTCACAGTGTTTATCAGATAGGAATCCAACAGGGCAGCACATTCAGCAGGATGGTTAAATGATGCTTGCCACAGTAATCCGTTTCTTGGTCTAATGCTGAAGCTCTTATGTTCAGGTTGACTTTGTGCAATTGTTGTTGATTACCTGCACGAAAAATTAAGGTTATATTTGATCAGCGTTTCTCTGTTTGTCTGTTACTGTTTTAGTCAAGAACAGCGATGTGGATTGGTGTTAAGAACAGCAATGTGGATTGGTGTTATATTTAGTGGGTTGGTGGGTTGTGACAAACTGGAAACAGTTTGAATGTGGGCCCCTGGCGGCTTTCCTAGGTGCAGCACCAGAACTTGCAGTTTCTGAAGTCTTGTTACTGCATCCAGTCCCGTCAATCACCATGATTGACAGCACGGAAGAACCCAGAATAATCTAACCCGCGATAACAACCTGTTTTGGATCCAACAAATGTTTGCAGGCTAAGTGCCTCAAATTCAAAATATTATCTTGTGTAATTGCTAACCTATGTGGTTGACTTCAAGAGAATAGATCTGTCTTCCAACATATTTATGTGACTTTTCAGGTAGATTTATAGCTGCATTTGGTTACCAAATATGTCTGTTTGTTACACAACTACATGTACATGTGACTGAGTCATACTGTATCAGTCACATACAGGTTTCTAACATGCAATGTCTGAATAATGATTGCATGTATGTGTATCGTATCTTACGTATATCTGTATATGATATCTGTGTATAATATCATATCTGTATATATTTCATAGTCTTAGTAACTAGCATTTTCCGTGTGCTTCTCTCTAACATTGATCTGGCATTAAAAATCTGATCCCTCTTGCAAATGTGCACCCCCCTCTGGCATCCCAGGCAGCACCCCCCTGAACATAACCCCCCTTCCAGCCTACTACCCCCCTCCATGGCCACTGCACACCCCCTCTTTTTTCATCCAACACAACTAACTAAGTACTATTAATAGCATGCCATCATATTAACCCTCTTCTCTATTCTCTCCACATGGCAGCTCGGACATATGGGCGCAGACGAGGTATTCATCATTCTTCTCTTATTATTAACGCCATGGCCTCGTAGTGTCGTTCTTTCATCTTCTGTGTGTGTCCTATCATTTACTTCCATCCCCACTACATGTGTAGATTAGATGTTGGCATCTCTTTAGGCCACACCGATCTATTTTCTTGGTTTTTGAACATACATAAGTAAGATTTAAGATTCTATTTCAGAGAGTGAAGTTGCTTCTAAGAAGAAGTAAGTTCACTCTCTGAAATATTGTGAACAGAATTTTCCATCATTCTCAGTTTTGATGTTGATTGTTGCTAGTTTGTTTAAGTCATGCAGCTCTTGATTTTGGTGATTTCATAGTGATGAAGTTGCAGCATGATATAAAATTACACAATTTGTTTTAGGTGTGTGTCTGTCAACATGATAACTTCCAGTTGCAATAGCAATACATGGTGAAGCACCAGGCAACAAATTTTACTGATGCTTGATATTTGATATGTGGGTAGGTCTTGATGAGACCTTGAAAAAGGATCACAACATTGTTTCCCTAGTGGTTTAAAATGGTACTGCAACATTACTTCCGCCTTTGATATGATGTGTCCTGGTCATGGAACTGAACAGTTTTTTTTTTGGTGTGAGATAGCTCTCATAATTATTGATGAAAATTCATAGATTAGCTGTATTCCATCATAGGAATGTCAAAAAACAGAGGAACATAAATAATATCAATGCATATGAAGATCTAATTTGCATAATTAATGTACAACTAATCTAATACCTGAGTTTTCAAACACGCAGCATTTGCAAGTTAAGTAAAGGTGAACATCATATAGCTAAATGATGCAAATTAGGCCTTATTTGCATAATACATGTAGATTAAAAAATGCCTTCTTTGTTGAGATAAGACTTTCAAACTTTTGAAAACTTGTGGATATTTTTGGGTATTATCAACTGATATAATCTATATATATAATTAATGATATGATCTACTATTTGCATAATCAATGAGAAACCTTTATAATACGTTAAGTCATAAAGATCAAAATCATTTGGCAAAGGTATGAAGTCATGGAACTCTAACTTTAAATGTTGATGTCTTGAAACAGCGACACAACTTACACAATGAAGCCAAAATGGTTAAAAGAAAACACAATTAAGAAGCATCAAATCAAATAATCATTATTGTTATAATTAGTCGTTAAATAAATTCATGCGTTTGTGGAGTGACCATTTGCAGCAATAAAATTCTGTAATTATGGATAAAACCCTGCTAGAAACCTGTCTGTCGGAAAGTTTCTTGTCAGAAGGTACTGTTTTGTGTGCGTGGGTCCCTCCCATGGGCGCATCTATCAAGCTCTGTGTCAATAATTAATGAGTAGAAGCCGGCTTGTAAACCCTCCCAATCTGACAGCAAAATGACTGCTTTTGCAGTAAAATCAGACTAATGCTTAAAACTTGAACAGCCACGAAATATCACATTCGGCGACCGGTTTGAAAGATGTTTGGTATGTTCTTAAAATGTACTGATTGATTAGAAATGTCATAAATTGACGTAGGAGTTTAATTTTTGTCATGGTATTGTATGTAATGAAATGAAGAGCACCAAATGTCAGCAGCGAGTGTTACCTTCCAGAGAGAAATCTGTTCAATTTACATGAATGCAAATAAGTAGGTGTTCGAAATTTTTTTTGTTCAAAATTCCAGCATATTTGTGCATTTGTAAATACAAAATTCAATGTAAATTTTATTCTTCATCAAGTAATTTCCTGTGGCTTCCTCAGGGTGAGATCGACATGAACATTGATGGATATGTACAACTACAAATGTGGAATCATACTTATATACACAAGCAGCAGATTTATTTTGTTACAGCTAGGAAACACCCTAAATCAGGAAATGAGTAGAGTGTCACTGCAATAGCCGTGTAGTGGTCCTATGCTGCTATTCCACTGTCTAAAGAGAACCCTAACTGGTTTAATTTTCATTATTCTCATGAAATGGGTCTGAATTTGCTCTAACGTTGTGAACGTAAATGTACTTAGACCGGATTCACCGGAAATGACTCAAAACTGCCTCTAGAAAAACAACTGACTCATGACATGAATCCAAGTTTCTGCCATATGTTGAAGGGAAGGAAGTGATATTCCCACAAAGGCTTATCTCGTCATGCCTCACAGGTATACGAAGGTAATTTTGAATGTCTGGCATGGGGCATATTTAAGAATTATATGATATACTGTAATATGAGTTGCACAAATGTCTTGCACTTGCTGGGTTGATCCTAAATGAGCTGAATCTTCGATATCCAGCCCCTGTGGGCAGAACATCACACAGGTAGCGTTACGAGCATCTGGAAATGAAGTGCTTGATAAAGCATTCAGAAAACACCCTTCTGTGATCAACATAATTTATTCTCTCACCGAAACTGTCACTTCTGGTTCAATACATGATGGGCTAAGCACTAAAAGCTGATAAAATCATTCAAATTATTAATTGGAATTATAAACTGGCTAACACTGATTTGTTTTCTAAAAAAATTCCTACCACTGAATCAAACAACAAAAATTAAGGCTACTGTAACAATATTCATTTGCCACTGCTGTGAAAGCAAAGACAAGAAAGAGAAGTTCACAATAACTTTTACCAAAGGAGCAGTTATTATATCATAGATTCCGGAAAAACAATACAGAACGTGATTTTACCCTGGCAAGTTACATTTACACCAACATTTTACAAACAAGTTAAATTTGTTGATGGAAAGATATCCAGCAAACTTTTGCTACTGCGAACATAACCTGATTTACAGTTTTGTTTCTCTTGTTTTTACAGATAATTACGATGGTCACTGCAGTGATCAGATTGTCCCGAGCGTGAACTCACCGTCACGAGGCTCGCCGCACAGCTCAGGGGGATCGGACAGCGGGGAACGTTTCTCTCGCAAGGTGTTTGTGGGCGGACTGCCACCTGACATAGACGAAGGTAAGCCCACGTCTTTCAGAATATAGTCAGAGGTCCAGCGACCGCGTCCATAAAACGGCCATCGGTCTAAGATGACCGGTTTTTGAAGGTCCCAAATTTTCCCCTATATGCCACAAGCGTGTGCCCAAGATGACCACTTGTCTTCTGTGACCGTGACCACCCCAAGTTGGGTCTGCAATTGACCACAACTTTGCATAAAACGACTGCCTCTGCCTTTTCAGCCGTCTTTCAGAATACATGTACATCTACATGTAATATGTCTTTTTCTTCCAGAGGAGATAACAGCAAGTTTTCGCCGGTTTGGGCCGCTGGTGGTGGACTGGCCGCACAAAGCTGAGAGCAAGTCCTACTTCCCTCCCAAAGGTGAGAAATGTCAATCAATCAATCAATAAATAAATCAACCAGAACTATCTGTAGATTTCAGATCCTGGCAAAAACATGAGGCCTCGGTGAGCCATATAAGTAGTGATACTGTATACATGTAGTACAGTGCGGTTGTACTGGTACTACTAGTGGTACTACTGTAGTGCAATACTGTTGTGGTTCTGTACAGTACTGCAGTGGTACTGCATACACATGTAGTACTGCAGTGGTACTCCATACATGTAGTACTGCAGTGGTACTGCATAGTGCTGTTGTGGTACTAGTGTAGTGTAGTACTGTTGTGGTACTGCATAGTACAATACTGTTGTCACAGTCACTGTGGTACTGTATAGTACAATACTGTGTTCACCTGGTTCGAATTGGAGTCGGTAGCCTGGCCATGGGTCTGCACCTCTGAACATTTATTGTCAGAAATTCATTGAAAATGCAATCCAAGAAATAAGCCGGAAAAGATTCATGCGATGCCTAAAGTCTGCTTCTGCCATGCAAAATCTGGCTCTTAACATTGTGAATAGCATCCATAATGGCAGCGATGAATACTGCATGTCCACCATAGCCTGACTTCCTGTTCCCTGCCCAATGGAGGGTTGCCTGGAGATGACGAGTGTCATATTTTATTTATGCCGTAGAGAAGACATTGTTTAGGGAGATGAATTATGTATCATAACTACAGCCTGGTGAGTATGTGTCTGTGTCTGCAAAATGCGAGGTTGAATGACTGAACACTTAATAATGAAGTTACAGGAAGACAAAGCGGATTGCATTTTCACTTCACTTGGCAGTTTTTGATAATTAGGAAAAAATGAGAGGGGTATACATAAGGTGGGTCAGTACCCTGTCTGGGTGACTTGGTGGACCTGAGAAGATCAAAGACAGGCCTAGGAAAAAAAAGTTGTGTTTCCTGTTTCAGTCCTGAAAAACTAAGGTCAGTAGGTAGGGATTATCTTTTTTTTCTTTCTTCCTTTCTTTTCTGACCTTGGAGATGTATAGCTAGTGCAGTGTACCATATACTTTTTTGAGGCAGGTTGCCCAGTATGTAACCTGGGTCAAAAACTATAGGTTGCACAGAAGAATTTCAAGTTGCACCACCTTCAATTTGCTAATCTGCTCTGTTGCGTACATACAATTACGTATATGCATTACACAATATCATGTAATAGCTTTTAATCAACAATACTATAACTAGTACTCTCAGGCAGTTTTTTCTAGGGTCGGTCGGGAAACAGCAAACACAAAATATTTTTTCCTAGGCCTCATGGCAACACGGAAACACAATAAGGCAGTCATGGTCCGGGTGATGTATTTGGTTAACTCACTGAGTTTGATGTAAGACAAAACACCCTCAGAGTTAATATCCAAGCAGATGTTTGGCTGCAAAAATGCTGCGGTTAGAACTGGCCATCTAGAGAGAGTCCTCAGCTGCGCAGACTAATGGACTGGGAGCAGCAGTCTGACCATATTTAGGCCTCGCCTAACTTTCTTTACGAATGGAATTAAATTTCGGTTAAATTTGGGTCAAATTTGACTGCCAACCACAGTGCTAACCCACTCCTGAACACCAGCCAACAGTGGCCGAACCTCCCAATTTTTTTTTGTCCACACCCAAACATTTAAAACATTTTGAAACATTCAGCTGGCACAGCTGAACAGTAGCCAACTTGGCCAAACACCAGCCGACCTACTCCTAAGCATGGTTAGGGAGAGGTTGGCAGTTTTCGGGAGGCCATGATCGTGTTGGCTATGTGTGACAGTGGTAACTGTCAATCACTATATTTGCCGTAGCAAAATTTTGCAGTCTGAGAAAAATGGACCTGTTCGCAGAACTGTATGTTTGCGGTGGCGGCAGGTGCAGAAGAAAGAAAGTCAGCTAATCATTTGTTCGCAGAAATGAGAGATTCGCGGTACAGAAGTGACCGCAAAAATGGCAAATGTAAAAGTACAGCAAATATAGTCTGAGTGATTTACAATAGAGAGTCTTTGTGTCCTGTGTCTGTAGGGTATGCATTCCTGCTGTTCCAAGATGAGCGTTCCGTCCAGGCCCTGATCGACGCCTGCATCAAGGAGGACGACAAGCTGTACTACTGTGTGTCCAGCCCCACCATGAAGGACAAGCCAGTAAGCCTTCTACCATTACTTGTACTGAGGAAAGTTTGGTCTACATGTTGGGTTGGGAGAAGTTAGCACATCAGCAGAACATACTGCACTTGCGCAAAACCCGTAATGTATTTGTGCGTAGCACGTCAGCAGAACGTCAACATTCTGTCTGTAGTTTCTAAATGTTGTCAATGTTGAAAATATATATTCTGCAACAGGGAAAATTCTAAATGCAATGTTGACAAAACATCCAACAAAAACTTTAAAATCCGGGTTTCGCACAGGCGCAGTGCATTTCAAAGTTATTCTCAGATGTAGAGATTTCTTTTGCAATCAAAGCTCTATGTGTCCAACTGTCTTTCCATCCCTGGACAGAATTTTGCATTGTCGTGTCACCAGTGCAAGTTTGCAGAAAAAAATATTTCGAACCTTCAGCGTGATTTTTGATGCTGGCCATGTATACTTCTATGAAATGCATTGTAGTCTCATAAATGTGTTAAAATGCGACAATGGTTTTGTTTCTCTAGGTACAGATTCGACCGTGGAATCTTGCTGACAGTGACTTTGTCATGGATGGGTCACAACCGCTGGACCCGCGCAAGACAATCTTTGTAGGGGGAGTCCCCAGACCTTTGCGTGCTGGTAAGGATGGGTTCGCTTCCTACCTGTCACATAGCAGTGACAACATGGTATTGATATCATGGTAAAAAGAAACATTCCAATCTAAGGCCACACCAATTTAATTTCTTGGTTAACGGATTCGCCTGCTTCATTTTTTTCTTATTTGCAAAAAAAAAAAAAAGGAATGGAGAATCAACTGCAAAATGCTCATATTTTGACCTGAACAGTTGAAAACAGTTCAATCTGTCAATGCAGTGTTATCATCAAAAGTTCAAAATTCATTGTTTAAATTTTGAACCAATCTGGTGTGTTGACTTCATGGCTCCTATCGTACTATTTGGGGCCATAATAGGATGCCTAGGACTGTTTTTATTTTTTCGCCCGCCCGCTCCATTACTTTTCTAGAAAAATCCGTTAACCAAGAAATTAAATTGGTGTGGCCTAAGAATGGTATGTCTGAAGCCTCACCCTTCTTTTGATGTATGATTCCCTTGCCAAGATGGTACAATATCATGTTTTTCCTTCGAGGAGGAGTGAAAAGGAGATTTTTGCAGTTTAAAGTTTGAGCAGTTCTTAGTGATGAAACATTGTACAATCGGTTTTCCAACATTGACATTTAAAATATAAGTATGCTCATGTACAATTGCATGTAAGTTTATTGTATTGTATAAGTTGGATCACTAGAGATCACTTAAGTGTAAAAAAAAGAAAGAAAAGAGAATCCCTACCTACCGACCCTAATTTTTCAGGACTGAAGCGGGAAATACAACATTTTTTTTCCTAAGCCTAACGTACTGTCCCTACCCCCCCCCCACAGTGGAACTGGCCATGATCATGGACCGTCTGTACGGCGGTGTCTGCTACGCCGGGATCGACACCGACCCCGAGCTCAAGTACCCGAAGGGCGCCGGGCGGGTGGCGTTCTCCAACCAACAGAGCTACATCGCCGCCATCTCCGCCCGCTTCGTGCAACTTCAGCACGGAGACATCGACAAGAGGGTAGGAAGAAAACTGGTACTTAGTATGCTACATTGTATAGCACCTGCCAAGGAGATCATATGGGTAACAGCTTGCAATGTGTTGATAACACTGCATAGCCATAGGTTTGAACATGTGTCAGCTGTGCCCTCTAGTGATGGTTTGTAAAACTGCAGCAGAAAGATAAGCAGCAAAGATCAGTGTGGACAGGAAAGATTCAAAAACTAGTTCTTTTGTCAAGCCTTTAGTATCACAAATTGTTATGGGTTTTTTTTACAGGTTTGCAGTACGAAGCCTGTATTTTTTTGTGTTTTTCCTAAGAGCTGACCTACTGCTTGTGCTGTTGATTTGTCATTGTTTGTTTAGTCCGTTCAGTCTACCACCTACTGTTGGTATTTTAAAACATAAATGCAGGTTACCCATATTCTGTTCCTTGACAAAGCTATTACATTCTATGACACTTTAAGACCACTCTAAAATCCACTAGCCCCAAAGCAAGTACGTGGTATGTTTTCTGATGATGTTACGCCTGTTATAATGGTTCTTGTGATGGTTTCTGATGATGTTGGGCCTGTTGTGATGGTTGTTTAACTTGTGTCCCTTGCCCGGCGCAGGTTGAGGTGAAACCGTACGTGCTGGATGACCAGATGTGCGACGAGTGTCAGGGTGCACGTTGCGGCGGCAAGTTTGCACCGTTCTTCTGTGCCAATGTGACCTGCCTGCAGTACTACTGCGAACACTGCTGGGCCAACATCCACTCCCGCGCTGGACGCGAGTTTCACAAGCCGCTGGTGAAGGAGGGCGCCGACCGTCCGCGCGCCGTCCCCTTCCGCTGGTGTTGATGGAAGCAGTTGGCAATGCTGTTGGCCTGTGCACGACACACATGTACACACACACACACACACACACACATGTACACACACACACACGCATGTACACACACACATGTACACACATACACACACACGTGTACACACGCATACTTGTACCCCCACACTCCACACATTCATACTACCATCCCTAACTTCACACACACACACATCTTCAAACAGGAATTCACCAGTGACTCCTGTAACAGGGAAACTACCCTTATAACCTAGAGTACCTCCAGTCTACACTCCCACAGTGAGTGGGCTTCATCTTGCCTAAAGGCTACATATGTGTGTTTTCTTCACCTCCGTACATGAGTACATGTATCAGTGTGCTGTCCACACGCTAACGTTGTCAGAAGTCTCGTGGTAGTTTCTATGTCCTACCACAGGAAGTATGGTCGTGTTTATGTCATGAAAAATGCACAACTTTAGAGCATGAAATATACAGATCTTTTTCTATTTTCACGTATCATTCACATCCATTCCTTTTTATGGTAGGTGTTCATCTCTTTGTCTTACACGTCTCATTGTCTTGTGCATGCACACACACACACAACACAACACAGGTACAACCAGTCACACACATACACACACATGCATGCACACGCACACACACACACAGACACACACACACTCACAGCATACTGTTCAGTCCTATCCATAGAAACCAAAGGAATATAATGGTTGGACTGCCACAGAGAGAGACAGTATAGGGTGGGTGCAAAAAGAAAAAATGGACAGGAACAGGGAATACACTACTCATACTAACCAGGATATGTAGTTAACGTTCAGGCATAATATATTTAATCTCCAATAGAGGTCATCATGGTTACATTACCAAAGATTCAGCCTTTGTGAAACCAATGCAGACTTAGAGCCAGCCTACGAAAGACCAGTAAGGCCGACTAGCTTACCAAGCAAGTTGAAGAAACACAACTCATCAGTAAGGCTGTTAGTTACTTACCCAAAAAACAAAATACCTCCGTAAGGCCCTGCGTACGCCTACGGTGACCGAACACAGCATGGTTATGTGGAAATATCTCAGTGGGTGGCTCTACTATAATAGTTGATGTATTGGCCTATGATATTTATCAAGAGCATGGTTGCCACTCCTGTAGCCCAAAAAAGAAGAAGAAAAAAAAGCACAAGTAGATTGATAAATGGAGCACTATATAGGACAATACTACCTGTAGAAAACCATGACTCCTGTGATATTGTGTGTAGCCATGTCACCTATGGAAGAAAAAGGTGATCCAACATTGTTCAGGGACAGGGATAATGTAGACATTAGCTCCTCTACTACTAGGGTTCTTAGTAGAATCTCTCCAATCAACTATCTCGTGCACAAAAGATGTGCAAGTAAGTTTTTGCTGCTGCATGCACAGATCAGGGTTTGTTCTGAACTAGTGCTGATTAATTAATAATAACAGTATCCAACTTGGTAATTAGCTTGACTAATTAGCAAGTATGTACTCTGTGCAATGTTTTTTTTTGTCTTCACAGTTAGGGTGCTTGCTCCGTATGGTACTGTAGATGCTCTTTCAAAGAACAAAATGTAGGTATAATATTGTATGGATACCTAGTAGGGAATATGATAACGCATCTACTCCAATGTTGTTAGTATATATATATAAATATATACCTTCCAACCCCCGCTGGACTGCTTATATAGGGGTGAGGGAATGGTGCGGTGAGTGTGACTTCACTTTGAAGTTCTCTCACTCAGGGAACCTGTTCCAAGTTGGAAAGGCACTGTGTTCATGTCGGTGCAGACACACTCTCACCACGTGGGTTGCAATGCCTCAGGAAAGATGAGGTAACGCTATATTTTCTAGTATCAAAATCTAGAGGTTGTCACATGTTCCTACAGTATTTGATGTTCTAGGGTGTCTAATCTGCCTTTCACGGTTTGTATACACTTTGCGGTAAAAAAAGAAATATTCTTTGAGGAAAGGTTCCGATTTTTTAGCAGATAGCACATATTCTTACAGCCTACTTTTTTACTGGTGACTGTGAAAACTTTTTAGGCAGGCTTTCCACCTATGTACCATTTGCAATACCTCAAGACTTTCCAGAATTAGAGCAAATAGATATTTTGAAGTTTATTCTTGAAAGTTAGGAATGAGAGAAGAAGATTAATTTAATTCTGCAGATGATTTAAGAGATGAGGTAATTTTATTTTTCTTGTATTGTTCTGCTTTTTTGCATATGAAAACTGGAAAGCTTTAAACTTTTTATTATATAGCTAGTTATTCAGAGTAATATATCTTGAGGGAACTTTGTAAGAAATGTTACATTTTCTCAAGATTTTATAATATTCCATTTTTGTATTACAAAATAGATGGATTTTGATGATCAGCACACTCATGTTTGGGGTATACATTTTTGCATGGTTTCTTGTATTACTATATACCCATGTGGTGCTATTCAAGCATATCTGTGTAACCAGTTGTTGAACATACTACAAGATTTCACCAATGTTGATGTGAAGTGTTTTCTGCACACATCACTATAATTGTGGTATTGACTTTAATGTGCAATACAGAAGAACAATGTTTGTGGAGACAGATTTTCAAGTCTGTTTTGCTAAAGATTTCCTGAGTTATACACTTCTATGTATACCCCTGGAGCAAATTTCTAGCAACAATTGTAATGGACAATGTTTGAAATATCTCTGTTCTTCATTATAACTGCTAGAAGTAGAGAGAAGAATTGAAAGGCTATACAGAATGTTTTGCTATGTAGACTTTGTAGATTTGATGTTTCATACTTTTTGGAATGTATAATTAGTATATCAGAGGTTCTTAAAAATTTATTTTCACTTGTTGTATGGAGAGATACGTTTCGTAATTTGTGAGCATATCTTTGACTTTGTGTCTAGTGATGGAATTGGGCTTGGATGTTTCAAGTTTCTGGTGGTTGATGATCATCTTGTGGAAGATAATTAACTTGCGGTGTTTGCTACTCAAAGAGTTTGCTGTTTGTTGCCAACCTTTATAATTTTGTTTTTATGTATATGGGGAGTTCTTGTTTCTGTTAGTATTTTTTCAAATAAATGCAGAATATTAAAGTTTCTATGTTTTTCAAGAAAAAAAATTCAAGTGTACAGTCAGATGAGTCGGAGTAATTTTGATCCACAATATTTATTCTCCTAGAGGAATTTATAGTTAATTGATAACACAATTGTTGATACCTTTTGCTGCTGAGTATTTATACAATTGCAATCTATGAAAATACCCTCCAAGATTTCTGTAGCTCTGGAAGTGGTACAATAAAGCACAATCTAGACAACTGTGTGGCTGGTGACTAATATGCGTACTAACATGCTGCTTACATTTTGTGGTTCTATTAACAACATCTAACTGGGCAAGCACGGATGTCATGGTCTCGCCTCTGCTCATGGACCCATCATGCTTGTACAGGGCTATAGTACAGGGCTCAAAATCCTGTATATTTTTTGCAAATGACAGTCAAATTTTACTGAACTACTTATTTTCTGTCCATCAAAGACAATTTAAGTTTTTCTGGCATCATAGTTAGTCTGCTGTACATCAGGATCTTCAGTTTGAATGCAACTGTGTGAAGCAAGTTTGGGAAGAAATATCCAGTAGTGCAGGTATGAAGCAGGTGCCTGCACTATGCTGGTATTCTTTCGAGCCCAGTCATGTTTCATATCATCACAACTGTCACTGAAATCTGTCTGTCAAATACTTCCATGCCAAGACAGGTGTCACTCAGAGACTTCTCCAGCTCTCATCCAGTTACTGTAATTCACAATTTTTTTCACGGTACTTTATGTTTGCGGTTTACGCGGTCACTTCTGTACTGCAAACTTTTCATTACCATGAACAAATAATTTGCCAACTTTCTTTTTGCTGCGAGTGTAGTTCCTTGAACATGTCCATTTTTGTCAGACCGCAGACTTTTGCTACCGCAGACATAAAGTGAACTAGAAAGGTAACGTTTGCAAATGTATACTAGTAATGGTTACCTTTGCATATAGCCTGCTCTGTTACGGTAATTCCTACTCCACATCCCTCCTGCCATAAAATTGCAACATGATGTAACCCAACACTAGTTACCATGGTGGCAGTTTGGTTCAGGTCATTGACCTTATTTGTTTGGAGAAAAAGAAACAGAGCAAAAACAAGGTTTTCCTTTGTTTAACAATATCACAGTACTACAGTAACTACTGTTGGACCCACTAGAGTTCAGACACTCATACCTTTGTAAAATGTTCAGCACTTTCATAATTGTTATTGTCTCAATTATTATGGAAATAAGGTTGTATTCAGCATAATCTATTTTAGTCAATTGAATGGTCTTCTCTACTCAAAAAATTTCATACATTCTAGGTGAGAAAGTCATCCTTTTGGCAGAATTTGATTTGAAATGCCCTCATTTACATTAGTTATGAACAATGATGTTCAGTTTCAACTAACATTTTAAGTTTTTGAAATTCCCATCATTTACCTCTAAGGAGCCATAACATTTTCGTATTATTAAATTGTGCCAATTAGGCCATTATTTGCATAATCTGTTCCACCTGCCACCCCATTACATGTTCCTTTTAATAAAACAATGAATTTATATAATTTTCTCAGTAATTATGCAAACCGAGTCATAATTAGCATAAATCCTAGTATCACAATTCAAGGTCGCCAGTGACTTGCCAAAGTCAATCTGGGGCAAATGGGGGCATCACATTCCGCAGGAAAGAATACCCATAAGTAAGACCAAAATCAATTTTCACAAAAAACACTTATTGCACAGCAATGTTAGTATCTGATTAGCCTGCATGGCCTGGTGCTATCCTATCCTATCCTTATCTGTATACCAGTGTTCCCATACTTGCTTGCTAAGAAATTAGGGAGCTAGTATGAGAAGCCCGAAATACAAATAGGAATGCATCCTGGCTTGTATCTGATATCATTTCACAGAGGATTGAGAATTTCAAATTAAACTTGGACCATGAAAAAAAATACCCTTGCCAATCTTTTACCACAGCCGTGCAAGCACACACACACACACCTCCATTTGGAGAATAAAGAACCAGAAGAAAATACTTTGAAAATATCCCAAGATTTAATATAATCACTCGAAAATATGACCACCAACAGCAGCCATTTTTCCCACCAGGTGCTTCTATACAGACCACCTTCCTACTGCAGCATTCCATCCTTCCACTAGTCACAACTTCTACTACAAAACTACTCTCCGTTTTTCTCACTTCACCCAAGGTTGCTTCTGTACATGTACATGGGCACTTAGCTCATGTACCCAATTATGTAAAAACAAAGCACCATTTGTCATAAAATCACTTAACGTGTCAATTACAAATGACCCCTTCACAGAACTGGCACTCATTGTCTAACTGGCACTTGGTCATTGTCTCTTCGTTATCAACTTTTTGGTGTGTCACAATGTTGTTTGTGACATCAAAATTCTTACAAAAAGTCCTATGGCACAGGTTAATATTCAAGCAGATCCTTTTGGTGGCAAGGCAGTGTCCACCCAAGGATCTGATTGGACTTTAACAGGTCACAGATATAACGAATGACTGTTCCGCTTTGACACATCTTCGAACCAAAATTTTGGCAACATCATGTAACCATTTCCATCAATACAATCCCTTTTCTTTCACCTATTTGACCTCAGTCACACCATTGCTTTTGAACACTAGTACAGTCTCAAGTCGTTTCGATGATCATACCTTATCATCAATACACAGTATTGCCCCAAAACTGGCAAAAATTACAATTGCACTGCACTATTAGTACACAGTTTATCCAAAAGTCAACATTGGTACACTTACATGGAAGCTAGCATACCTCTTCTGAAATGTCAACATTTAAAAAAAAGCTCTGTTCTTTTTTGCTATGAATTAATTATGTCCAGTAGGTCAACAACAATTTACGTTTGCCAGCAAAGTGACCCAGGGTTGGACAAGTCCCATTGCCCACTTGCCCAGGGCAAGTAAAAGTACTGTTCGGGCAAGTGAATATCCCCCTGTACTTGCCCGATTGGGAAAGTAAATTTTTGGGATGCGAAGTATACCCGCTATGGTGTTTGGAGCAAAATTACTAATGATTTGGCCATGATATTGTATTAAGTCTCAAACCACCTTATTTTGATAACTCTAAAATGAAAATAGCTTTCTTGCTGGTAGTGAAAATGCATATAAAAATGTCGTTTATTTTGGGCAAGTGAAAAGTTGGTTCGGGCAAGTGGAGATGTCCATGTACTTGCCCAATAGGGCAAGTGGATTTTTGAAAACTTGTCCAACCCTGAGTACTGTTTTTTTGTTTGTCTAAGATAATTGTAAATACTGTTGTTTACACAAGACATGCCTAAATCGGCTAGGCATGATATGTGTTAATAACATTCCTCTCATAATACATTGTACTTTGACAAAAACACTCCACAGACCGTAGACTGAAAAGTGTAAACAAGACTTATCTAACGTCTGGGTGCCAGGCTACCAGTGGTGGGCACTGGGCACAAAACTGGGCCAAGTACAAACGATTCCCCGCCACGTGAAATGGACTCACGTGGATTTGCCAAGGACAACAAATTAATTTCCGACTATAGCTAGCAGCAATACCATGTAAAATTTTGTGCAGTATGCATAAATATCGCTAAATATCTCCCCCTTTCGGACAAGTATTCAACACAAACATAGTTGTAGCGACAGGTCATTCAGAGTTCACGTAATTTCGCAAGTTGTGCTCTGTCCATTTTCAACAGTCTTTTTCCTAGTTCTGTCTTCAGTAATACGGGATGTCCGACTTGGCGTGGGCCGCCCATGTTGGGAACTGCGGGGAGACGTAGTCGGACACAGGTGACGGACTGTCCCGGTTGTTCGCTCGCGTCCACGGCGACGTGAACTCCTGCATGGACTTCCACTCGGCGGAAACGATCTGGTAGTTCTGACCGTCATTACTGTCCCAGTGGGTCTGTCCGCCACACGTGTACGCCAAGCAGAACTCGATCTTGTTCTGTGGTTGTAGGTGTGAGGGGACGTCGAACTCGAAGGAAAACGTGTCATAGTTCTTTCCTTCAGAACTGCTGTAAGATGCCTCCAGGTCCTTGTAAGATTCCCACCCGTTGAAGGTGACCCGCACCTCCAACTGTTTCTCGAACGCCAGGTTCTTCACTTTGACCGTCCCCATGATGGATTTTTCTTTGATGATGGCGTTTTCGAGGCAGACGTTTTGTCGGTCTAGTCTCTGCCGCATGGTGAGGTAGTCCGCGGCGGGTTGGGCGAAGTTAAAGACCAAGTTGGAGTGCTGCTCAGCCGATGGACGGGCCCCATTGATTACCGCAGCGATCAGGTTCGTACTGAGTACGGGGGGTTCCTGTGGGTCTTCAACCAAACGTACGCTGACGAGGGATAGTCCTTGAGTATCGGCGAAAGACACCTTCTTCCGAGCCTTCCCCTTCCCCTTAGCGTCTCGCGAATTGTTCGTGACATGCTTGGGTTCCTCCGCTCTGTTGATGCATGGTTTCAAGGGTGTGAGAAGTGTCGTCCGACATTTTGAATACAACGGTTTCGTCATCTGCGATCTGGAAGCAGATCTAAGACGGAGTTTTTCAAGATCCCTCAAAAGTCCAGACGCGTTCAGGTAGCCGATGTGAGGGGGACTTGGGCTTGGAGGGTACATGAAGCCGCAGTCCACCGGCATTGCTGCTACTGGCGATCTAATGGCGAGCATGGAGCTTGAAAATGCACAGTTCACGGAATAATTTACAGTCCGTAATACCGTTCTGAGAAATGGCGTCTTTCTTCCCAGCAATCGCGTGATGTAGAGTGGTGATGTGCAGTCGTCTCGGCGTTCAACAAGTTGCACTGGGGAGGCTTCTCGTCGTTCTCCCCCACTTTACACGCCAGCGTGTCCTCCTTGCTTCCAAGCAATGGCAAATGAACGGGAAACACAGCCTGAGTGATTCAGACGTGTTGCACCATCACCTAACGGCGGCCAGACGTCATGAATCGTTCACGTGCTCAGGAGGAGTGGCCCAATCAGCGTCGCGGATCGTATAACATGATCATCCAGTTAACCAATCACGAGGGAGGATTCCAAACGTCTGCATGCAGGTAGCACGTGAACATCCCCAGAGACTGGCTGTTTACATGTGTGGACAGGCTGATCCTGTTTCTATTCTCACACGTGGTCGTCGACCTGAACAGCTGATATCGGATGATGCAAGTGATGACCAAGGCGATTTAATCGCCTAGCCTACCAAGTCTTTATCAAGGAGGACTTCACATCTGTTTCGCCAAGCCTTGGTTTCACGTTGCGTCCTTGACAAATCTCAAAATACTAGTAACTTGTTATATATCAAGAAGGTTTAAACCTCCTTGGTTATATGTATATCATATGAGCGCGATTTTGGTTGACCATGGTTTGCTGTATGTACGCTGAAAAACACAGCAATTCAGTGTTTACCCATGGGGTTTGTGCAAATACTGACAGGGCCAAGAAGACAAAGGAAAGATTAAGAAAGTCGTGCATATTCAGAAGAGCAGTTCACCATTTGGGCTTTATCCAAAAACCGACAGGGCTTCGAAGACAAAGCAAAAATTCAGAAGTTACCGTACATAAGCCAAGGAGGTTTAATTGAACCTCCTTGCATAAGCCTAGGACATTGTGGGCCATTATGTTCTTGCATAAGCCTAATCTCCAAGCAGATCATATGGTGGCAAGGCAGTGTATTGAAGAGCAGTTCACCAATTGCCCTATTGCAAAAACCAACAGGGCTACGAGGACGAAGATATTAAAGCAAAAATTCAGAAAGGCGTGCATGTTTTATATAATATATAATATAAGAAGAGCACAGCCATCCTTCGTTCCAATGGGGGGGGGTCAATGGGGGTGCCGGCATGGGGGTGCTCTGCCCAACGAAATCCCCACGGTACGTGGTCAGATTTGGGCTGTATGGGTTCCACCTTCTTGTTAGAACCCGAATCGAACGCGTATTCCATTTGAGATCATTTGAGGTCACTTGCGGTCATTCCCCCCTTCGTATCTCCAAGGAGGTTTCTCCAATCAAGGACATTCTACAAGTCCTTGCTCCAAAAAATCAAGGACCTTGCTCCAATGCGCGCAATTAATGTTAATCTCCAATCTCCTAGCCTGGCATGGGTTCCAAGAGATACTTGTGTCCAGTGTGCTATGGCAGTATGGGTTTGGAACCCAGGCTACCATTGACTCTCCAAGCCTAGTGCACTTGCTGACTACTGGGTAACGGAAAAAAATTGAGCATTTGAAGGCTTCAAGTTTCTGAAAAGTACACATGTTGACATGTAATTTTATTTTGGCTGTAACAGTGACCTCTCCATCGCGAAATTCAGACACCCAGAACATTTTCCCCTTATGTTTGCTACTGGTGAAAACAAAAATAAAGAACACTGACATAGAAAAAAAACAAGCACCTCTTCTACCAGCAAAATTGTTTCTTCCACTCCCTCTCCATCTAATCAAGGAGGTGTACTTAACCTCCGGAGCTCCTTGATCTAATATAAGAGCCCGAGTTTACCACAATCAATATCTCACATTGTGCAGAACAGCAGAATCAGCATTTTTGGGTGGCATAAGACAATATCAAATTTGGCCAGGCAGTATACAAGTATTAGTATCAGAAAGGGTCCAATACGGCACCCTTGGGCCCTATAAGCACCCCTGGGTGCCGTATTGGACCCCCTCTGGTCAGTGGATACATACTGCCTGGCCAATTTGATACTGTCTTAATAATATGCCACCCTAGAATTCCCTTAGATGTAATGTCTGTAGCAGGCTCACGGAGGACAGGGTCGTACCAAATAACTCGTTCCGCCCTTTCTTGATAATTCAACCATTAATATTATAATTTCGATGTTTTAAGATAATTGCAAACACTCCATGGAGTGTGAAAAACTTCACTGTGAGTGTGACTGTATTTTGTTGGCACACGATCAAGACACCGCACCTGCACACATGAAAGCAAGATTGGCTCATCAGACACGCATAATTTTATGGATTGGAGCAAGGACGTCCTTGATAGGAGATGTCTGATTTCAACGTTAACCCTGAGTTCATACATTAACTTGGTGGTTTACATGTATTGAAAACTGGACCAAGAATGCCACACAATGGCCCTGTAGAAGTTACATAAGCCTAGGTCATTAACTATGTCCTTGCCTGAGCCTAATCTCCAAGCAGATCATATGGTGGCAAGGCATGTGTCCATTGGCCACTCCTTCGATGGCCGTACAAACTCCTCAGGCTAATGGATACTGTCTTGCCACCGAAACTCAAAGGGATCTGTTGGAGATTACATAAGCCTACAGGTAGGTCAGGGTGACCCAGCCCAGGGTGACCTAGGCTTGACATGGGGAGACTGCGCGGGTGTAAAGTACATGTTTGTGCACACGACTGCTATAATAGCTTGGGTGCCAGACTGTTGCTAGGGATAGTATACAGGCTAGTCTAGTAGGACCTCGGCTCCGAAAATTTTACCATAGACACCCCGCAGATAGACCATGCTGTGCTCACTCTGGGATCGGGACTTGTGGCTTCCCCAGGCCAGCTGAATTCGAAGGGATTGTCAAGCCGGAGTCTGCCATCCAGGCTATATGTTAAACGTGCCATTGACCTCTAATGTAACTGTTGCTGCAGAAAAAAACAAACAGTGGGTGGGTCCATAAGATTTTAAAATTGCCACGACATCTAAATTCTGCTCCTGCAAAACAAACACATCCTTACATCTGAACTTTCATCATAGTACATCCTTACTGTTTGTGTAAAAATGCTGATTCTGCTGTTCTGCACAATGTAAGGTATTGATTGTGGTAAACTCAGGCTCTTAGTAGATGGAGAGGAAGTGGAATTAACAATTTTGCTGGTAGAAGAGGAGCTTAAGCTTGTTTTTTTTTCTCCATTAGTGTTCTATTAGTGTTTTATTGTTGTTTTCACCAGTAGCAAACATAAGGCAAAAAATGTTCAGGGTGTCTGAATTTCGCGATGGAGAGGTCGCTAGATTTCTACTGTACTGCCAAAATAAAATTACATTTCAAAATCTGTACTATTCAGAAACTTGAAGCCTTCAATTGCAAAGGCTCAAATTTTTCCGTTACCCAGTAGTCAGCAAGTACACTAGAGTAACGACAACCTTTGTTCTTCTTTTTTTAGAAAACGAGGTTAAAGGTTCCTTGCCGTGGTGTAAACAATCTCATTTGTCAAAGGTCGTTACAGACGTTGTATTGCATTCTTCAACTGGGTAACTTAGATTAGCCTTTGCAGGCTGAATAAGGCATTTTGACCAAGCCTACAGAATTTAACTCATCCAAAAAGTTGGGGTCGGCCTAAAAGGGGGATTTAATTGGCCATTTATGGACCCTCTCTGGCCGGCCAACTACTCTGGCCACTTTTTTTAGCTATAGGTTGATTTCTACTATTTATTCAGCCTTAGGCCATGTTGATTTGATTATATGGATGACATCCGCGCGCGCATGAATTTTCGGCCGTTTCCAAAAAAAAAAAAGTTTTCAACCATACTGTAAATCGTACAAAACAGTTGCAAAATGAACAAAAATATACCGTAAGTTACAAAAAAATAGTAAATAAAAACTATACCAATGTCGTAGAATGCTGGATGCCAAAATCAAACGAAAAAAGACGAAATTGTAAAGAAATGAACTTGAAGACTAGATTATTCGCTAAACCATATTCTTGTCCCATTTCTTCAACCCTCATGACCACGTAGATTTCATAATGAAAAAAACTTTTTTTTTTTGCAAAACTTTTTTTTTATTCGCACGCGCGCATCAGTTTTGGGGTTCTCGGAGGATGTCATCCATATAATCAAATCAACATGGCCTTAGTAGCTACAAAGGAGTCTGGTTGAGACTAACGCCCTCGTTGGCGGGGTAGCGGATCTTGGGGAGCCGACAAGGTTGGACTCCAGGCTAAACTTGGCCTTCCTTTGCCGCTGAATATTGATAGAGTACATATATCTATATAAGGGTCTCTTGAACTTTGGGGAATAATTCAATTTAATCAAGGGATAATGTCCTTGATTTAATAAGAAGTACTGTAACAAGACACAACGTTAGTCGCTACAGGTATATTTCAACATTTCAAGGACATTACAAATGTCATAATCGGTATACTAGTATTTCTGGGGTGTAGGGGCTCTGGGTAGTGGTCAGTACCTCGGGTTTGCACACCGAACCAGGGAACATGCCCTGGGCTTGCACATCGTACCTTGGTCCGTATCCTTGGTTGCCTGTCTGCTGCACCCGACAAAAACATCAGTCGGGTGGACAGGCACCACCGTACCTCACCTATCCCTAAACTCTCACGTGTTGGCTCCAAGCGCCACACCCCGGTACACCGCTTCAGCAGGCGGGCGAAACCACGTGAGGGGCCATGTCCCCAGCTATGGGTCAAATAGCTGCATCCCTGCTCATCCCCAGTCGTCCTGATTATGTCTTGCCACTGGATTAGGAAGAGCCGGGACGAGAGGGTGAGGCTGGCTGACTTTGCGCGACCCTTCCTCACCTTAATCCACATCAGAAGCGCAAGTCCTGACTTCAAAAGTCCTGTGGCGATGGGGGAGCGGCGAAACAGCAAGTGCGGATTACACCCAAGCTGCAGCCGTAAACCTGCACACAGGCGACTTAGGCTATTGGGTCGTCTTCCACTGACTTGAGGCAGAAGTGGAACCCGGCAGCAACCTATGTGACCGAGCAGCCCTCTTTAGGATAGCTCTGCTCGCCTCCGCAGCATGAGGACGGGCTAGAAAAGGTGACCCCAAACATAGCCTGCCTCAACCCAACCCGACCAGCAGGCCGCGGCTGGAGGGAATCCCAAATCTTGCGGTCGAAACAGAAATGCAAAGAAAGTAAATGAAACTACAGTCACCTTAGGCACATGGAATGTCCGGACTCTACTGGACAGTGCCAAGGCGGACAGACCTAGTCGGCGAACAGCACTCGTGGCAAGAGAACTTGCCCGTTACAAC